AAACATGATTTATTGTAAGTTATGAATTAAATACTTGGTGATCATGAGCAAAAAAACAGCATATTCTATCTAATAAATTGAAAGCTTCAAAATGATAGGGATGCAACTACCTGGAAATACAAAGAGAACTTCCTTGTATTCCTTCTGGCAGTATCTGCAGTTGCCACCATTTTTATATATCTGCAGGGCTGCGAGTACTCATTACAATTGTAACATCTTTGTAATGTTTGACATGTAATAACTGAGAAAAAATATAAAAAAAACTATCAATTGAAAATGAAAAAAACAGTTCTAAGTACATTTTCATCTCATCTCCATCAATGCTTCTACCATACCTTAAAGTTTTGTTATTTTGATTTAAAATTTTCTCTTTGAATCAGTGGCAATTTTGGTTAGCAATTATTGAAATAATACCTAATTTCCATCATTCAACCATGCTTATTTTTACTTGAGAAATATATTTGGCACAAGATTCACATTATTAATATTAAGTAAGAGTTAAGCTGAATTACGAGGGACACAGCTTAACCTGATCGAGTCAAAGGCTTTCTTAGGGTGCCTATGGCAGCCACCTTATGAATCATGTCTGATCACGGAGCACCGCTACGATGGAAAGGTGAGTTAGGGGGATATTCCCAACCCACCCTGTCAACATTCCCTGTGGGAGGAAACTGGAGTATAGCCAGAGAAAACCCACGACTTTCAAGCATTGACTGACTCGTTTCACATAAGTGTCATGCATGAGTCCGTAACGAGAATCGAACCCACAATCTCTGGGGAGAAAGGCACATGCTCTGACAATTGCACTATACTGAAGCTCTATAATATTATGGAATCTGTAATTAATTACATTCTTGCAAGGTAATTTTCTAAATGTGATTATTTATGAAAAGAGGTATTTGTAATTGGAATTAATTACCTTTTGCAGCAAGTTATTGTAATTGTAATTAATTTGTTTTTCATGAGTAAATTTGCAGCTCTGTATATACCTGTTCCTGTTATGATCATGATCAATGGATGATTATATCCATTATCAATACATGGAATATTGGCTCATTATAGTTTAACCATTAAGCAGACACCATGTCTTTAGCAGACTATATGTAAAGTATCATCTGAATCATACATAAATTTTACAAAACCTCTATTGATCGAGTATATAGACACCTCTACTGAGTGAATGCAGGCACATAAACAGGGACAGAAAGGCACAAAAAATCTCTGTTCAACAGATAGAACTTCTTTATTTTTTCAACATTTCACCAGAAGTTAGGGTTTGATTTGCAGATGTAACAGAAGTCATGTTCACCAGTACAGATAATATTCAGTATGAAGTATGATTCCCTAAGGGTGTCCATTTAATATAGGTTGACTCTGTCACGATTCTACAATTTGCAATGCAGCAGCATTAGGATCAGCTGTAAAATTGTCATCAAGGTGAACAAGATCTTTTCAGCACATACACATGTATGGAAACATTTATATATGCATTCATCTACATTGGTTAATATTTAACTTGATAATTGGCACTTTCAGCCTATCATAATTATAATGTGAAAGTAAACTATTGCATATTAAAGTAGAAAATATAAATGCTATGCTGCTAAATATTAAGTAGTATTTTCTACAACATATACAAATGTACATAGAAAAGTCAATCACAATAAATAATTCAAATTGATGTCACACAAATATAAATTACAAGGACAAAATACTAAGTACCTTTGTATCGCTCAAACAAATGCTGTAATTTTTTCTTATCAACTGTTGTCTTTGACTCCTTCATGTATCGATGAGGATGTTGGAAAAACTGATCTGAGGCGACATCCAACCTCCAATCATGTTGACTTAAACAGAAAATTGCTGATTTCTCATCGGTCTGAGTAAAAGCTATAAACTGTCGAACTTTGTCCCTTTGTGATGACTTTAGCCTGTGCTGTAGGTAATGAAAAAACGCGTCAAAAATAAACACTTGTAAGAAAGTTAAATAAAGTCTTAAAAAACGAGTTCGATATTAAAATAACAGAAATAACGTACCATTTTAGCAGATTATTTACCCGCCCCAGCCGCCCATGAGACCCAGACACACCATAAAACCATTGGAATGCAGGCGCAACTTCGTCTCCAATCTGTATTGGTAATGTTTTATGCGCGTTTTACATGAAGTATCTCAAGGAGCATATTTCCATCGGGGGGGATGAAATATTTCACGCCATGTTGTAAACGGTCTCCTATATCTATGGTTGTAAATACTAAAAAAGTTTAATGATTTCAATGTTTTTCAATTTTCAAGTCTCGTTTAAATTCATATATATTGGTAAACCGTAAGCACAGTAAATGTTATAGTTAAATGTATTAAATTTTGCGGATTTGTTATTTTGTTTCATAATTTTACTGTTGACGAGTTTTTCACCCCCCCTGGACGAGTAAAACAAATTGTGTTTTCTTGTCAGTAATATGACTCGTTTTAAAACTAATGGGCGAAGCTATCGTTAATACACCTCATGGATGCGAATAACGCGTTTCGTAACCCAAGTAGTGTCATAAAGATCGATATTCCACGTTTTGAGAGAGTTATTGAGCCTACAGGAAAGGACTATACGGTATACAAGGTTGTTATTGCCAAAGCGGGAGGCACGAAGGAAATTGAGAAACGATATAGTGAATTTGATAAACTACAGAGGAGATTAAACAAGAGTGATCAATTACCGAGAAACATTGAATTCCCTCCAAAAACTTTTATATTTAACTCGGGTTCTATTAAAGAAGAGCGGCGAAGAAAATTAAGAATATTTTTACAACAATTATGTGATCTTAATCCCATTCCTGAAGAAGTGCTAGCATTTCTAGGAATTTCTCAGCCTGTACAGTCAAATTTAACGAATTCCAAGATAATTGATACTTATAGTTCTAGCGAGGATCTGTTGGACAGTAGTACAAGTTACACACATCAATCATTGCTGGCTTTTACTAATGATCCATATATATTTGACCATGAACAGTCACAAGATGATATATTACTCAAAGGAATACTGGATGGTATATATGAAGACTCTACAACAGGTCTTGATGTTGGTAATAGGTAGCATCAATTAATTGATATTTGAGTGGAAAGTGAAAACTACATACAGTAGCTCACTTTTAGATATGCAGCACAAAGCACTAGTAAGGCCAGTGGAAGTATTACCATAGAGGAAGTACATGCAGATGTCTCACTTCAGGTTAATTTAGCGTAAGGGATTTTTTCAGTCCACCATGTTCTTAGCCAGTCCGGTAAAGAGAGGCTATCACCTCCTGAAAATGTATTGAAATTTAATGCTCCAGGGGGGTGAATGCCTCTCTTTACCAGACTGGCTAAGAACATGGCCGCCAGCAAAAACTACCTTACGGTTTTCCAGCAGAAGTGAGACCTCTGTATGTACCTATTCTGTGGTGTCATTCTATCAGCTTTTTTATTATTTATTTACTAATTTGCCAAAAACTTACATTAAATGTGGAAATAAAGTACAGTATTTACAAGAAGTGGGCTAGGGTGCCAGACTGCAGAGTTGTCAATGTCGCACTTGATATTTTTTATGCAGGAATTTCAGTATGCCTGGGGTGTACTTTACAACAATTTTTGCAATTTAATCTGCCATCAAATCTCTAATTTTGATTGTTTTTAACACGTATCTGGCTAATTTTGTGTCCTTGATTGCATCTTGATGCATACTTGGCAACTGTTTTGCGCACCTTCGATTTTCTAACATTTGCACACCTAATATCTTGTGGAAAAGTGCCTAACTCTGCAGTAGGGGCTTTCTAGAAACCATAAGGCTTTATTTAAGGCACATTGCTAAGTTTGCTATGCTCACAAGATATTCCATCTGCATTTATTGAGCATATGTGCACATTTTATTGAGAATTGTAGTCTTGTGTGCATTATCTTTGCACATTGTAATCAACCAAGAGATTTCCTTGAGAAGTTGTGTGTGCATTTTTCTTCACTAACTTACTCTCCCCTTGATGAGTAAAATCATCTGGCATTAGACGGAGTAAATAATAAAGTAGGGCATATCAGGGCACATTGCAGCTTAAGGTGGCTCCCTAGTCCCTACAGTTGTTTAATAAGCATGGGAGTGGTAACAAAATGATGTGATCTTGTCAAGTTGAAATTTTATCACCTCAGGAAACATTTTATTTGACCGTGCAAGGTTTGTAACGCAATAACTTTTTTTCTTAGATCAATTTATCTGAAATTTTGTATTTTAATTTAAAGTACTATAGACAAGTCATTTAGGAACGGACCATTAGAAAAGTGATGGGGGGGGGGGATTTTCTAAGAGGCAATATATCTTTTTTTTGTACACCTATAGAAGAATTTTTTTTTCTCACTTGATGGCTGGAAATATTTTTTTAAGTGAAATTTATAGGCCTATCTTCCAAGCTAGGATTTTTTTTGCACTATGCCTGGGAAGATTTTTTTCCTAATTTTTTTTCCGGGAATAAATTTTTTTTGGTTTTGCCCCC